TGTTAATGGATCAGGTCAAGCATTTTCACCATCAATTTCCCTTGTTTCTTATGGCACTATAACCAGTTCATTGTAGGTAGTGGTTTGGTTTTGGTTTAGCATAGTTTGCAATTACAACTTTTGATGGTGGGAGCACGTTAAACATCAATAGAGGCATTGTTAAAAATTCTATATGTCACATGGTGTCATATGTGAACGGATTGTGATAAATGTAAACAGACACTAATGGGAAGGAGAGGGTTTAGTCAATTGTCAGAAAATTTGAAGGTACTTTAAGACAATTTCCAAACAATAAGGATAGAGTAACTCAATTTCCTAAAACTTAAGGGTACTTTAAGAGATTTACCCTTTTAAATTCAAATCACATGCATTTAATCGCTCTCTCTCTCTCTCTCTCTCTATCTATCTATCTATCTATTCGTGTGTGTGTGTGTCAGGTGGCCTGGGCTTATGCCCAAACTAAAGCCCTAAACATAGGTATTAAGCCCAGCTTGGGCTTGGGCCTAATGTTGTATATACTTTTTTAAATTGGCCATCCAAGTTGCACCCCTATTTTAAATTGGCTATCCAAGTTGCACCCCTAATTACATCTTCTAGAAGATAAACCAAGCCACCGACTGCGGTTTCTATTCCATCTCCGCTAGCGTAGATCTAATGGATTCTTTTTAAAATGGGGATCTTCCATAATGAAACTAGGATTTCCTAAAAGCCTAATTCTGGAGTAGGTCATAGATCTCCCATTCATAAATGCCAGTTACTAGGTGGCTTGGATAAGCTATAAGTTTTGTGCTTTAAAGCCCAAAACCACAAAGTCCCAATTTTAGGCTTTCTACTTGCCAAAAAAATGGGGATTTATTGTGGTTGGAGTTTAAAAGATTTTCGACTTCAAATTGCTATCCTTTTAAAAGCAACCATAGCCAAATGGTCAAAACACTTTCTGGCTTTTTTTTTTTATTTCCCATAGTTAAAAGCTTATCCAAACAGGGACATTTACATTTGGATAAGTTTCAAGTTCAGGGTTTGTGCTTTTAAGGCCCTGTTTGATTTCACTTTTAGAAATTACTACTTTCAACAAGTACTTCTTTTAAGACGTGAGACCACACATTAAGTGGTTTTTAAGTACTTATAAGTGTTTGGTAAAAAAGTGGAGGAGAAGTACTTCTTGCTGAAAGAAACATTTCTTAAAAAAGTGACCTGGATGTGGCTTTTTTTTCAACACTTTTTGAAGAAGTGCTTCTTCATTCGAATGGGACGAACCTGTCCCTATTTTTTAATGAAAAAAATACCCACGCACGAGGTTGTCATCCTCCTCTTCCATTCGAAACCCTACAACATACTAGTCAGCGATGGCGTCAGTTGCAGGTCCACCAACGACATTCGACAGTGAGCAAAAAACAGTTAGCGGACCCATCGTTTTGCTCTTATCTTTGTTTTTCTGTAGTATTCCACCGATTTGAGGCTATTTTTTGTGTTTTTCTGATGTCTAAAACTCCCCCTTTCTCTTTGGTCGCAGATTTGTGTTTGGGCGACTTCAACAGCGATATCCCACCGTCCAGCCGCCAGCGGCTGCCGGTTAGAAGGTGAGTTTGCCCAAACTCCTCCCCTCCATGTTTGATTTTTTTTTGGTTTTTTGGATGATTATTTCTCTAGTTCAATATTTTTTGTGTTCATATGAGAAATCCAAAATTCTTTTAGGCATTTTTTGTTAGAAATCATGCAAAAAAATTGCTGAAGTTTGATGAATATTTATGTGAATGAAAATTTGATGAAGTTGAATGAATATTTGTGTGAATATATTCTTGAAGTGTGATTATTTGTGAATTTTTTTCATGAATTTTTGTTGATGATGTTTTTAATATTTTTTGATAACCTAAATTTTCATTTTTTTTAATAGTTTGAATTTAGTCATCCTATTTTATTTTTTTAGTTTGATAGTGATGGTGTTTTTTTTTTTGTTTTGTTGAATAATTTGAAATTTTCAATTATTGATTTATATGTATAGTTAAAATTATCCTATTTTTTGTTGATTTATTTATTTTTTGAATAATCCAAAGATTAATATGTATAATGAATTGGTGGTGCTTTTCTTTTATTTTCTTGAATAATATGAATTATTGATTTATATGTGATGAGGGTAGATTTGGCCCTCCACTGACATCATGACACATGGCAAATCAAAACAGTTGGACTACATCCCAATATCACCTAGGCAACAACTTGCCTTTGCCAAAATGGGGTCCTAGCTGGTAACCTGCCTTTGCCACCGACCTGGTGACCTAGTTGTACTACCGACCTAGCAACTTGCCTCTACCACTGACCTAGCAACCTACTTCTACCGTCGACCTGGTGACCTGCCTCTGTCGTCGACCTGGGGATCTACTTCTATCGCCGACTTGGGGACCTACCTCTGCCACCGACCTGGCGACCTGCCTCTGTCGCCGACCTGGCGACTTGGCGATCTACCTCTGTCGCCGACCTGGCGACCTACCTCTCTAGAAGCTTGCCAGTTGTTTCCAAACCTTTCAGGATCACGCCACGTAACTGTAGGCCTTATCCTCATCCCATCCGAATCGGAGAGAAACGGTAACCATTATTAACTAGCACGCTATCCTCCTTCCAAAGCGGAACGAACCCTATGTCGTGGGCCAAGGATTCCAGGAGCGTTTCGCGAGACCAACGGCAGCCCAACTATATAAGGGCATCAGCCCCTGAGACCCAGGTAGATGCGCAATTTTTTAGTTCTCAGAGTTCTCTAGCTCTCTCACATTTAGCTATCTTAAAATCTCTGATTCGTTAACTTAAGCATCGGAGTGCCCACCCCAGGTAAAGCAACCCGGGCACTAACACTGTTTCCTTGTAGGTCACATCAGAGCCACCTCTCCAGTTCGTCACCATTCAGCTAAGCATCAGAGCCACCTCTCCAGTTTGTCACCATTCAGCTAAGCATCAGAGCCACCTCTCCAGCTCGTCACCATTCATCTAGGCATCAAAGCCATCTCTCTAGCTCGTCACCATTCGACTAGGCATCAGAGCCACCTCTCCAGCTTGTCACCACTCAGTTAGGCATCAAAGCCACCTCTCCAGCTCGTCACCATTCAACTAGGCATCAGAGCCACCTCTCCAGCTTGTCACCATTTAACTAGGTATCAGAGCCACATCTCCTACTCATCACCATTCAGCTAGACGTCCAAGCCACCTTCAGGTTGGGATTATTCAGCCAGGCATCTGAGTCACTAGCCAGCCGGGAGCTGCCAAAATGCGCATCATCAATATGTATAGTTAAAATTATCCTATTTTATTTTTTTGAATAATCCAAATATTAATATGTATAATAAATTGTATCCTACTTTATTTTTTTTTTAAATTTATCAATGGTATTGGTTATCTTTTCTATGTTTTTTTGAATAATCCAAATTTTCATTTGTTGATTTATTATTTCTAACTTGTAGGTTAAGGCTAGTAGTCAAGGGAAAAATGGGGGTGGAGAGGGGGGGCTCCCGGGCTACGTGGACTCCCGAACTACACAAAATTTGGGTGGACCTATGCTTGCAACAAGTAATTGCTAGTCACCGAACCAATACTACATTGGATAGACAAGGGTGGGCAAATTTGATTCAGGAGTTCAACAAGATAATGGGGAAAAACTACACCCAAAAACAATTGAAGAATCAACGGGATTAGGTGAAGAATGAATGGAAGATATTTCATAAATGTTCAACTTATATAGTTCGGGTTGGGATCCAGTGAATGAAATATTCACTACTGGGGATGATTTTTGGGATGACTATCTAAAGGTATGTATGTTAATACAATAAACTTGCAGGTTAATTAACTTGTTAGGTAGAACCTTACATAATTATGTCATTGTGTGATAGACATACCCTGATGTGGCATGGTTTAGATATAAGGATCTTCCCCATGTAGTAGATTTGGACATCATATTTGGTGGCATGGTTGCTCACAGTTATGATAGTTGGGCATAAATGAGGGTTCACTAAATGAACATGGACATGGAAGTATTTTGTGAAAAGTACTTTTTAAAAGCACCAAATGAGGGTGTTACTTTAGGGCACATTAAATGAACATGGACATGGAAGTATTTTGTGAAAAGTACATTTTAAACACTTCCTAAAAATATTTTGTGAAAAATGCACCTTGAAAGTGCTTTCTTGAAGTCTATTTGTGAAAACTCAGTTGTGAAAGTGCTCTTTGGAAATAGTTTGTGAAAACTGCTCCATAAAAGCACTTTCTGAAAATTACTCCATAAAAGCACTTTCTAGAAGTATTTTGTGAAAACTGGTCATTAAAAGCATTTTCTAGAAGTAATTTGTGAAAGTTGCTCCCTAAAAGCACTTTCTAGAAGTATTTTGTGAAAATTGGTCCTTAAAAGTGCTTTCTGTAATAATTTGTGAAAACTATGCCATAAAAAGACATTTGAAAAGTATTTTGTGAAATTTGTGCCTTGAAAGTGCTTTCTGGAAGTACTTTGGTGAAAATTGATCATTGAAAATGCTTTTTGGAAGTATTTATTATTGTTATTATTATTATCCATGTGACACTCTATGTGTGGGCCCACGTGGATTCGCATGTGTCATGATATAATGATTTGACGATTTTTCGTTGAAATGTATATTATAATGATATGGAAAGCATTGTTTATAAGCATGTGTGGAGTGAAGGCTAAAACTGTCATTTAAGCCAATATAAGCACTTACATGTGGGGAAAGTATGCCACCAAACATCCACACCCCAATAAGTGCTTAAAAAACACAATAAGTGATTGGCAAGTGAATCACCAAACAACCTTCAGGCCCTATTAAAAGAAACACTTCTAAAAAGTAATTGTGCAACAAGTACTTCTTTTCCAAACATCTTATTCACCAAACATAGGTTAAAGACCAAAAAATAATGTCTGACACTTAAAAGTGTTTTTCCTTTTTATATTCTTTTGTGCTTTGGTGCTCATGTGTGTTTCATGCGGTCCAAGAAAATCACAGCCATAGTTTGGAATCTGTATAAATCTAGCTCTTATTGAATTTATAATAAAGTATAATTACAATTGATACTCATGATTTTAAGAACAAAGTGAACTGAGAAATGTAGCATCCTTCCTTGTTAAAAAAGTCGAAGGCTACTGACATATATATATATATATATATATATATATTCATTTGGGGATCTCAGTTGACTCAGAATGTAGAAGTTAATTAGTCTAGACAGTTGGTATTTTCAGCTATAAAAAGCTTTTCATTATCTCTTATCACTTCAATGGACTCAATTATCGAACCTTCTTCATTTGTTACAATTGCATCCTTTGGGTCAAACCCAAATTTCTCACCTGTTAACAAGTGAAAACTGTAAGTCATTTCCAGACATCTTTCACCTCACCAATCTTTTCAGAAAGAGAGAAAACCATCAAAATGAGCACAGTGTTCAATTGTATAAACAAGACATGGATTACCTAGATGACCCAGGAGGTAGAACCAACTAAATATATATAGACCTGTTTGGGAGTGCTAAAGCGTGGGCTGAGCTGCAACTAAAAGAAGCTTCAGCCATGCTTTTGACTTTTGATAAAAGTCACTTTAGGCTCTCCCAGGTTTATATCAAACATGGATGGACTATAGGCTTTTTAAGTGGGCCTCAATCAAAATGCCAGAAGCCGCTGTCTGAAAGCCATTAATAATATCAGCCCGACTTCAGTTAGGTCAGGCTCACTATCTGAAGCCTCAGAGATGGGATTTCCTGTAAGCAAAAGTTTTACCCACATGCGATCTAGCGGCACATTGAGAATATGATTTTTTTTGCTTGCACCCATCATACCCATCACCCAAAATTTCTGGCCTAGGCTCAACCCGGAATTGAAACTCAAGCCCAACCCGAGAATATGAATTCGATCGGGTCGAGTTTAGGTTGGACCGCCCATGTTACAGCTCTACTGCTATGGGGATAAGATATGAAGAAAAACACACCTGCAATGCGTTTGAGCTCTTCCATTGAGTTCGGCAACTTTATGAGCCTCCCGGCATCCCTTCCAAATGAATACCTCCTCACCGTAGGATGACCTTTGTATATGTTCACCCTCAGACAATTCCCACCGTTCGATCTTCTCTCCCTACTCTCCTTTCCCTCTTGCATCTTCCTGAACCGTCCTACTAAGGCATCATGTGGCAGTATTGCTTCACTCCCCGTAATACGGTAGCCCCCCTCCGGCTTCTGCATCATCTCATCTGAATGTCCGTTCTGATTGGCCTGATAAGCCTTGGCACCGTTCGTCACCAGTAGGTTCACCATATCAACGTAGTCCCCATCCACGGCGATTTGCAGAGCAGCGACTCCGTCGCGATTTTTCGAGTTGACGTTCAATCCATGTTTCAGGAGTTTATTCATCGTCTGAAGATCGTTTCTTCTCGCTGCTGTGCAGAGAAGATCCCCGTCTGTGTAGGGATCAGAAATGGAGGAGAAGTGGTACAAGATCCTGAAGATGGAATGGTGATTTGCTGCAACAGCGTCCCACAATGGAGTATTTCCATCCACATCTGCAACCAATGGTTCATGATCAAGTTGATGGATGGAGATGATAGATAGCCTCAACCCAGGGATATGATTGGGATTTTGGAAAGAAGAAATAGAGCTTACCTTGTGTGTTGATCTTGCAACCATGCTTAAGTAGGACCAATACACACTCTTCGTGGCCTCTGGATGCGGCCATGTGCTGGTGATGCCATAATCAGTGAATCAGATAGCGAAGTGTAAATATTAATATACTCCCAGAAGTAGATTTCTGTTTCTCTATAAACGGTTATTTAGTTGATGGGTTACAGGGAGGACTGTCAATGATACCGAAAACCCGAGTTCCGATCCGATATCCGATCTCATTATTTCGGATTCGGGTGATGTATATATATGTAATCGATTCGGATGTTATAACCTATATCCGATTAATAATCTGATCGGATCCATCCAATTCGATTAAAATTTGATTCCTATTATAATAAAATAGAGTTGGATTAAATCCGAATTCAATCCAAATCGGTTAGAGTTCAGATTCGAATCCAAATCTTTAAATCCGATCGGATTTGGATGTATGCTATCAGCAATCGGATTGGGTGCAGATTTTGCTGCATCTGATCCGATTACAGCCCTAGTTATAGGTAAACCTAAACGGGTTGGATTTACGGTTTGGCTCGATCCAAAGCTGCCCCAACCTTGACCCGACCCATTAAATGGAGAGGGACCACTGAATCCGGCCCATCTATATACTCAAGCAAGCCTCAATCCAAAACCCAATTAAAACTGAACCGACCCTAACCCAATGGAGTGCAGGTTTACCACATGACCCAATCCACTCACAAGTCACATCTCTAACTCTGCTCTTTCTCCATTTCCATATTAGGGATGTAAACGGGCGGGTTTGGTACAATCCCGAACCCGACCCGCTACGCAAATATAGAGATGTAGGTTCCATTTGCTGCTTGATCAACGTATATGATTAGTTGTTAGGTTTGGAAGCTTACCAGTGGGGTTCTTCCTTTGGAGTCCTCAATATCAGGATCCAATTTTGCCTTGAGAAGCTCATCTAGCAAAGCAGCGTTACCTCCACTTGCTACAGTCAGTAGATCGGCAGCCATGTTGGGGTCTCCATCACCTCCATTCTCAGTTAGTATATCGTGGATGCTGAGATCCCTAAGCTCCTTGAAGTGCTGAAATGCATCAGATTGGAACTATGTAAACATCATGTCTTATTATATTTTATAATATATAAATTATCTTTAAGTCATTCTATTCATCACCATCATCATGTCTTATCCCAACTATCAATACAATATTTGGTTTACTTTGTTGATTATATATAATATTTTTATATTTTAGTTTAATCTGTTAATGATATCCAATATCAAAATTAAATTCAAATCTGATCTAAATCCATTGAACAATATTCAATTCAAATCCAAATGTTAGTAAATCAAATTAGGATCTAGTTATAATTGATCCGTTTAGCCCCATGTAGCCTGACTTAGACTTGGGTCTGGCCCCATGCACACTAATAAAGGGTACAACTTGGGCAGATGGGTTGGACTTAGGGTCAACCCAAGGGCTAAGGCCTCAGGATTGGGCTTGGCCCAGCCCGAGTGTACCATCTCAAGCCCAACCCGAACTTACATCCAACACAAATCAGCTTGGCCCAGACAGGTTGATCAGGCAGGCTAGAAGGTTTATAAAATATGTTTTGTACATCTACTATTAATGTAGTAGTAGAATAGATCAACCGTATACATAAATACTATTAATAAATAAATGTATATATGTATTTTGTATATAAATCTACATATAATATACTCTAGGGATAGTATAAATATGTAATATGTATACATGTACACAAGATAAAATGGCACAATATATAAATTATGATTATGAGGGCGGATTCACACCACACAAAATTGTGCTCACACCATTCTCACTGCCATTTTTCGTCGTGCATTAAGAACATCTTCATATTTGTAACTTTTTATTCATGAGAGATATTTCCAATGCAAGACTGAAAAGTGCTGTGAGAATCTGATTTATACATTATATACTTGTATATGTCATAAAATATCAGGGCGTATTTGGACTACCTGAGGCCTCAAGCCCTCAACCCAAAGCCAAACGTGAATTTAGGTGAAACCAGAGTTTCTTGACATGGGTCTCAACCTGAAGCCCAACCCGTGCAAAAGTTTGGATTGGTTTGGGTGAGTTGGGGTTAGGCCCACCCAATGAAATCCTTGTTATCTTGCACTTACCTCAAGGAAGTTCCTGAGGATGAGTTTATTGTCATGTGCCTTGGCATGCATAGCTTCAATTAGAGCGCTTTTCTTCAACCTCAGGAGCTGAGATAATGTCTTCGTTCGAAATGTAAAGCTCTGAGGTCTGAGGCAAAGTGCACCGACTTCCCCAAATATGTCGCCGGTTTTCAAAACGCCCATAACTCGTTCTTTCTCCGTTTCACTGTCGATGATCTCTACTTCACCGGAGACGATTATATAAACATCATCCGGCGCTTCATTTTGCATTATGACATCCTCTCTAGGAGGGATGTACTCAGCCTTCATGTTTGCAACCTGACCAAATTTGTCCACTTTTTAGTCAAAATTTGTCTTGGGATATACAAGATTTGCTGCAGTCTTTGCGCTGCACTTTCATTCAATCCGTAACAAGTGTCTCATTGTAGTGCACAAGTGCAGCGCCAAAAACTGAAAAAAACAAAAAAAAAAAAAAATCCACTGTGACCATTAACGTAGCCTTGGGCTAAAATCGTAAATCACGATGGCCCCATTTTGAATTGATGAAGTCACCTTAAAGTGGGGCCACTGAATACATCAAAGAACGTGATTTCAGCGTAGCCAATTTTCACCTCATGCGACCAAACTGGATTCTCTGCCCACCTCTCATTACCCTACACTTTATTTGAATTGCAGTCACACATAGCCATCTTGTATTGGAGTTACATCTGCGCCCCCACAAGGGGGTGCCCCACAATGCCCCACAGCACATCCCAACCTTGTATTGGGACATCTCCCAATACAAGGTTGGGATGTGCTGTGGGGCGACGTGAACTCCTTGTTTTGTGAGATACATGACTACAATGTACCATGGTAGGGTGCAGGTAGAGAAAGTGAATTAGGAAATCTGGGTTCATATTTGACTAAGTCAACATTTTAAGGAATTGGAAACGCAAAGGACTGTTTTGGGCCTTTTGGCTTCTGGTTCCTGGCCCGGTCTGACCGTCTGGTCTGATGTGAGTGTGACAACATTGGTCTAGAATTCAAACTAGTACTCACTACTCACCAAAAGCAACAAGATTTCCCTTGATACACCTTTGAAGAGATAAACTTTCTCCACTGTTGGTAGGAATAGATGCTGGCAGATACCTGTACAGATTGATTTCGGAAGTTGTTCTATTAGTTGTTGCTGGTTCAAGCACTCAGCTCTAAACCTTAAGCACATGTAGGCCAATATATGATGCTTCAATCTTCGAGGTAAATGATTCCGGCTCACGAAGCTAGAAGCTGCTTGTATGCTGTTTCTCTGCAATATGGGCTCAATGATTCAGTAAAATCTCAATATGAAATTCAGTTGAAATGTCCTGAATTCTATATGGTACCAGCCTATGACTAGGGTTGTTAATGGGTTGGACCTGGGGCTGATCATGTAGATCCCGGTCCGAGAACTCCAAGACACTATCTCAACCCAAACCCTATAGAGTCTCTCTATAAATTATAGACCCAGAACTTACCTCATTAATATTAATCAGATTCAAAATTATTGGGTAGAATTTGAGAAAACATCTGCTGCAACTGTGGTCGCATGTCACCCCAATGAAATACAAACACACCAGTGACCATGGTTGCAGCAGAGCAGATGTGAAAAGGCCTTCAGCAAAATTTGACAATTAAACTGGAAAATTTTGTTTATATTAAAATTAGTTCATGGAAATTAAGAGAAACAAAAAGTTGAAATAAAGTTCTAAAGAATTTTGTAAAAATCCTCAGGTTCAGTTTGAAAAGAGTAGAAATACAAAATATGTACACTGAAAAACCTTGCATTTTATATTATTTTGTATTCATTAATTCCACTGTACATATTTGTATTTGTACTCCTTCCAAACTGAGCCTAAAGAACATTCTCTTAATTAATCAACTTTCTGTTTCTCTGTTATTTTCTATCAATCCAAACATAGCCTTAAGGTCATAAATTCAAGCCCAACCCTATCTATTATAATTGGGACTCAAAATACAGATCCAGACCCTATGTAACAGGGTTTGATTGCTTTAGTAGTGATGGAATCTGTTTGACCCTAGCGCACAGAAAAAAAAAAAGCAATTATAAAGCATGCAAGAACTATTCAAATTTGATGATAGAAGTAGACTTACAAATTCCATTGTCCTACGAGTTCCTTCAACGACCAAATTGGTCATGTTTCCAATCAAGTAAGCAGTAAGGCCAAGGTTGAAAAGCATGTAGAATGTGTTGAAGATCATCTCTGTAGAGTTCACAGCATGTAGGTCACCATAGCCAACAGTAGTCATGGTGGTGGTGGACCAGTAAATGGCAGTGATGTATCTGGTCCAAACATTTGCTTCACTAAAATTTGTCATCACTGAACCAATCCATGTCCTCCCTTGATGCGGGTACCGGTCCGCCATAAAGTAATAGAGACATCCAGCACAATGAATCAGAAACAATGTGACCTGCACTACAGCTTTCTGTCATGGTTCTGCACATTCATTTGAAGCAAAATGCAAATCAAGTTTTACTTACAGATAGAAGTGTAGTACACCTTATCAAGAAATAGCTGAATCTGATATCCTTCTCAAGCCTGCAAGCCATTAAAGTGAAAGAGGAGAAAAGGTTTTGAGTTAGAGAAGCTTTAGGGGGCATAAACTCTGTAATCCTCTAATCCTCACTTGCTTGCAGAGGGTGAAATTAAATTACCTTGTGAAGAATTGCTTGACCCTTCTTAACCTCCAAAACCGGAGCAAGCCCAAAATGCAGTAACTAAGACCCACCTTGGATTTTCCTGTAAACAAGAATGCGAGAGCCTCAAAGGGGATAGTGGAAGCCACATCCATGATAAACCATGTTGAGAGGTACCTGACAAACAATGTAAGACTGAGATTAATATCATTTGCTTTCTATGAATTGCCGAATGTTGTTTATACATATTATATGAACATTCACATGATACCCATCTACTCAAATGGGGGATTCTTGTAATGGATGCACATTCAAGACTTTTAATGAATTGAGGGATTTAACAGGTTGGGGGTCTCCTGAAGGGCCTTTAGGGATTGGCCCAATGGACCAAGTGTGTCAGGACTGGATATAACTTCACAGTTTTCTAATGATTTAGGAAACTGATCATCAATGTGCATAATCATGAACAGACTCCTTCCTTTGGCCATAAATGAGTGTTGACCTAGGTGTGGTTGGCCTGGTACTGAGCCTAGCATAGCATCTATGTCCTAGACAAGAATTGGCGGAGATTTTCTGGTCTGAGTTTCTGACCCTACTCATTTTGGGAATGCCACTCAATTTAAACTCATACACAGTTTATGCTGAAAGTAATCACAGAAACAATGAATGAGTATTGGCAACATTTAAACTCTGAGGTGAATTGTAAGATTGATCTTTCTGTATTTCCATCAATTAATAGTTATGAACTACTACTTATAATCAGAACTTGTCATGTTATGATGAAGATGGTATGCAATTATCTAATAGTGTGCAGGAAGCAGCAAACCTTACGGCAATTTTTCTGGAATCCCGAACTAGAAGCTGAGTTCGCGGGTCGATGTAAGCCAGGAAGAATGTTAGAACAATGTCAATGGCGAAGAACAGGTCAACAATGGTGTCCGCTATGTAGAGTCCTCTTGTGGGAGTGGCTTTCAAGAATGCAACCTCAAATGGGTAAACCCATGCTGAATAAGCCACCAAAAGCACCATAAAAGTCTCCCAACACCTGAAAGAGTCAGAGAAAACATGCATCAGTTTGTACAAACAGAGAACACAAATTTCTGAATGGTGTATAACTCAGAAAACCAGTCACTGGTTTCCTTCTTCACCTTGCCAACTAGCTGTAACAAACCAACATTTCACAAGAGTGCTCAAACCTAGCTCATGACATAATTATATGTAGAAGACTACACAGAATGACAGAAAGCTCATTACTAGAAGTAAACCTCTAACCTGTTTTATTACGAAAAACCATTGATTCAGTCTATAACCCAATGAGTCATAAAGTTCGAATCATTGACCCATCAGACCCATTGATCAACAGGTTATCGGTTTTCTGTATTCTTCTAATTTTTCGAAATTTTGTAATAATGACATTACAGGATGGGCTGTTGACATGGAGGCAAAAGCAATTCAACCTCTGTTGACATGAAGGTTCTAAATTACTTTTGAAGTTAATATAATAAATTTGACCAAGTCAAAATTTGAAAGAAACCACCAACCTAAGCACTGTGTTGACTGCTGGCTTGTTTGGTATGTAATTATACCAGAATACTTAGTTATCAGTCATTTTGATTGTCTGATTTGGGCACCCAAGTTTTAACAAAAGGGGCACATCTCTTGTGAAAAGTAAAAAAAAAAAAAAAAAAAAATGGTACTTTTTATGGTACCGAGAAGTATTAATTAATTTGTGAGTACCAAACCTTTTCGGTACCATATCCCTTATTTACAATGATAATAACACAAATTGAATGCATATTAAATATGCTTTTTACCATACCATAACTTTTGCAAGATAAAAAGCATTTAGTACCTTTCCTTGGGATGTTCCTCTCTTTTTTCCTACCGAAAAAAATTAAAGGAGTTTGCTCTACCCTATTCTGAGTACCAAAGGTGGGATGTGTCCACTTCCCCTCCATATTTTTGAGGGAACTGATTTGAGTCCAAATCTACTTCAATTATGGCCCTAGAAAAATTTTTCGATTCCTAATAAAGGGATTGACTATAAAAATCTTATAATCGATCATTCGGTATCATAGAAATGTCAACAAAATTCATGCGGGATTTTTATATTGGTCAAAGATATTCTGGTATTGTACCTTTCTGGCATCATAAACTACCCTAAAATATGTAGACAGCGTAGCAACTAGCAACTAAGGAAAAAAGAGGCCATCTGGGTGGTTGCAAGAATTTATACAACGATGGTTGCAGCCAACGCAAGCTTGACTGGATTGGAAAATTTTCATTTTTTATGATCTGGGGGCACATTCCTGCTGAGATTTACAAGAAATCCCTATATTTGAAGGCCAATACATAGGGTATCTTAGGAGGTGTTCTGCAGGGTGAATAGTTTTTCTTATTGCTGGTTCCAAAAACTAATCAAAACCTATCTGGGTTGAAAACTGGTTGTTTCTCGAAACAAAAATACAGAAGAAATATTCCCGGTTGTGTATGTGTTTTTTTGTTTCTAAAAATGAAAGCAAAAACATGTTTTCATCTGGATAAATCATACAATTTCTACAGTTTTTGCTTTAAAAACATTATTTTGATGGTTTCAAAGTTTGATTCCCAAAACAGAGTTCAAGAACATGTTTTTCTTTTTCTTCTTTTTTTTTTTTTTTTCTTTTCTGATATGGAGATTTCAGAAACAAATGAAAACAAAAGCATTCATGTTGTGGAACACCCCCTTAAATCTTTTAAAACAAAACTTTCATTAACAATTAAGGCTATGCCTGCCTGGTTTATCAGGAGATTATTTGCCAAACTCACCTCCCACATACAATTTATAATTCAGTGAGCTTGTTCTGATTGATTTGAGGTCACTAGCGATACAACTTGACTCTTGAAAGAGGGAATTCATATACAAGGACAGACATGGGTGTTGGATGGATTAAAACCTGATCATCCTTAATGGAGACCTGGCTGAAGAACAGATGAGCCACTGGTTTTGTGGTCTGCACTTTGGGCGACTTTGCAAGACATCAATACAGATCTGAATTTGTTTACATACTGGAACAGATAAAGCTGGAATATTTGAAGAAGCAACTATATAAGAATGGTGATAATTAAGTTGAACTGACCTGTATCTTGAATCCATGGGTGAGATGATCCATCCTTTGGACTTAATTTGATTTAGATTAGAACTTGAATCACCCAATGGAGGAAGAATGATCTTTGAGAGGTAGCGAAGATCAAGAGGTGCATCGTCGTCTTCATCGTGTGGGATTTCAGAGTTGCCATGGTTCTGGTGGTTCCTGTTGAAGCTCACCTTCATCTCAGAACTGAAGCTATGGTTGTATGGAGCAGCAGTGAATCTTCCTTCCATCAACTTGGAAGTTGGAAACAAAACCCACCAAATTGTCCAGACTTGTCAGTACTGAGGTGTAAAAAAGGCTGAAAGGTCTGATGGGGTTGCAACATAAACTGACTCAGAACTAATTAAGAAGATGGAAATGATCCATTGGTTTCATTCAACGAGTGCTTGAGATAAGGCCTCTATAATGGAAGAGGGGTGGAGACTGGAGAGGAATTTATATGCTGAGCACTTGTGTGGTTTAGAACTCTTTGTTATTATTCACTAATGTAGCACATGGCCGTCTCTCCATTATTGCTTTTACTCCTGAAAGTTACATGGAAGTAGGTATATATGAGAGAGGGCCCCTCGTGTATATGAATGAGCAGGAGCTAGAACTTTCAAGGTAGCTCCAAATTCACTGTCTTTTTCCTCTTGGCGGTGATGCAATCATCCTGTGTAGGCTGCTGATTTTGGGACTGTCAACTTTTTCTGATCCTCGATTGGCAAAATCTGGAGCTATTAAACAAAGATGTGTTGCTTGATAGATTGTACTGATTGTTTGATTAATAGAATTTAATCAATTTATAACCTTCTGGGTTGAGAGAGAGAGAGAGATGTCTTTTTACTTATCCACTTTCTTCGTCTTTCTTTTTCCTTTTGAAAGGTTTTTATATGAATCAACTTTCTTTCCTCTGGTCCAAAGCAACCCCTGCACCCTTCTCAGGTTTAGTCAGGGTTTTGGGGCGGAATTTTGGAGACAGGGATCTGCTGCAACCAAAAGGCGTGGTAACATGTTGACGAGCATATCCTACACATGTATACTTGCTGTGATTCATGGTACAAGAACTCAGAAAAAGAGGGCAGCTGGTCTAGCAAACAAACTCTGAATCCATACCTTTAGATACCTAAGCAAGCTTATGGGCAGCCCTGTTGAGAATCCTTGGCAAAAAGCTAAACTTAACAAAAGAAAAAGGAGACAGGAAGATGAGATTTAATACGGTCAATAACACAAAAGCTATTCCAAGAAAGGGAAGAAGAACCAGTTTCCAAAAAATTCATAATAGACATCTGACAATGTCAAAATAGGCCTCCAATTTTACAAAGATTCATTTGACTCCTGCAACCAATAAAAAAGATTTATGAGAATCAAAAATACAAACGCCAAAAGTCCAAAGAACCCACCACCCATCACACTTTAAAGTAGCATGAAAAGACTCAAAAAGGGGTTCGGCTATGATATGGGAAAGATACCATATCTGAAAAACTTCTCATTAATCCATCCTAATCGTAAATATGAAGTTACTTATCAAAATTCATGAGTAAAATTTGATTGGTCAAAACTCTTTCTATATCATGTCTTTCTCACATCATAGATTTTTCCCCTATTTTCACAAAAAACTTTGGAGATCAAGACAGTACCCATTGAACAGACCTATGAACATTATTAAATGCTAAGTTATTTCTGGAAATCCAGAAGAGATCCAAAATTTACCCATTAGTCGGAGGAAAGAGAGATAGTCATGGGGCCTTTTGTCACTTTGCAAAATGATTTTAGGGGTTTTTACCATTTACTCCACCTAAGATTTTATTAATTAAAAGAAATATGTTTTTTCATGTCATAGTTGTTTGGCATAGGTGCTGGGAGCATCACCATTTTTTGAGTGGGCATGTGGAGTTGTAAGCACCGTTTTTATTTGGAATAGGTACTGTCACATGGGCGTTTTTTGAGAAAATAACACTGGTTTTGTTTGGTATTTGGTAGTAAAGTTTTCAATATTGATCTATATTATTTAATGTCAAAGATGATGCCATGTCATTGCACTGTCGGTAGCAATGCACTGTTTTCTTAGAAAGCATCAAATTTGGCGTTGCTCTAAGCAGTGTTTGGCATTGATGTTGTTGCTCCTGAAAACGATGACACATCAGCACCACATTGGAAAAATTGGTGCTCCAAAAGGTGTAGTTTGGAGCACCGCTGAATTCGACGTTTTCTCAATTTGGAACTCGTTGCTGCCAATGAAGATATGACGTGACAGTGACGTAGACTTCCCATAATGATTACTAGTGCTGAAAACAAATATGGAGCATTGGTACCAAACAGAAGGTATTGTTGTTGCCCTAGGAAATATCTTACCTGACAGGAAACGGTGCTTCCAACCCACATACATACAACACCGTTATCCACAGCATCGATGCTTAATATATACCTAGACCACACATTTCCAATTTCCAAGACATGGTCTAGAACATTATTTTTTTCTAAAAAAATGATACCAAACAAGAGGACGTTATTTAAAGCATCGCTTTCTCTAATGTGACACCTACTTGATGCGGTTTTGTCAGAAAATGTCATCGATGTATCATCTTATGAGCCTTGTTATGGGGTCGGCTAATGCATGTTCCTAAGTCTAGTAAAAGTTTTAATGCTAAAAATCTCTTTTGATACACTAAAGGGATATGTAAAGATTAAGTGGAAATGCCAAACCCGTCTGCTCTGTGAGACCACTGTGAATTTCAAGTGATTAACTCGTGAATCTTCAACAGGCATTTAACTATATGAGACACTGCTGGTAGGGTCTTGCCCAGCTGGTTTTATTCAAGATAAATATCTGCATACCATTTTAAAATTAATTTTTATTCAACATAAATAATTAATATGGCTATATATAATAAATCAGCTTTTAAGTGGCCCCACCTCTTTCATCAGTATTGATGTGTTGTTATTTTCATTCTTGTTTCTTCTTCAGGGAAAAGTGATGTAAATAAAATGTTGCTTTCTTGTATTTTTGGTTGAAATGGTAGGGCCTTGGTCTTTATTACAGTGATTCCGACAACTAACATTCTCACGGAGTCAATGTTAACTACATGTTTAGGGTTAACTTTTGCTGTTGGGCCCAGCAGCATAGGCTGTTGAGACAATTTCTGTGCTGGGTATGTTCTCGGCAGTTCACTTATTTATGTTTATGCTTTAGTTTTTAGTAAAAATAAATTAATATATAATTATTAATTTATTCATTCTCATAGTAAGGTGGCATTTCCAGAAATTCTCTCAATACTATTGGCTGTTGGCGCCTAACAGCCAAAGTTTTTCGTGACAGTGATTGTGACAATTTACGTTTTCACCGAGTCCAGATTAGCTTGCTGCACCATTTGGCTGTGTCGGGGCTGTTTAATCAACTGTAACCCCTATGTGAATCATTCAATTTTTTAAAAACCAAATTAAAACTGGAATTACTTTGACCACCAGTTTTTCGGTCAGCAATTCTACCGTCCGGTCTGAATGGATCGGTTCATGATGACTTAAAAATATTAAATTTAAAATTCACTTAAAAATCATTGTTTGGATCAAATGGATCAATGATTTGACTGTCCGAATCAATAGATCATTAACTAATTTAATGGTTTAAAAAAGGGTTTAAGATTGAAATAGAACTGGTGTTCTGACCTATTTCAGAGCTGAACGATCTGATCATCCAGGTCAACGACGGTTAAAAAACCATAGAATTATCAATCAATTGTTTATATGACTTCATGCCCCACAACCACTTCAATCTCTTATTATGTGCCCATGAATGATGTGGGGCATTCTTATTTAGTTAAGCTAATGCAATAATACATTATTAACGGGTCGAGTCTAGCTGAGCGGATCGAGTTAAATGAAGTTTTCCAGGTCTGAGTGGGAGCGATAGGGTGAGCTGGTCAGATACGGGTCATTAGCTTACTCGGGCATGCACTCGAGTCTTTATTACAGGTCAGAAACCAGAGGAAAATGCATGTATATATATCTGATCCCTGTTGTTGGGTTTCATTCAACACTATTTTGAAATGGAACTAGGCCGGGCTTCAAATGTTATCCGGATTATTCAATACCCGAATCTGATATATTCAGGTTCAATTTAAACTTCGATTTGATTTCAAATATTAACGAATTACATTTGGATCAAGTATACTCATTGATATGGAATGCGGTCGGATCTTGGATCTTGGATCAACATGTTCCATTTTATGCTTTAACAAAATTTTCATAAGGAGGGTTTTGTAATTTTAAATTTTATTTACCTCCTTAAACCTCCCTAGTTTCAACCCATACCTTCTTCAAAATCCATATATAGTGGGTTAGATTTTGAGAATTCAAATCTTTTCTATACATAAAATTGCAAAATTCTCCCCGACCCTATCCTACTGAATTCAAAGGTAGGGCGGGTTGAATTTAGAATCCTCATCTAATTTCTTATTATTTCTTGTTATACTTATATATAAGCACTAAATAAGTAAAATAACATAAACAAATAACAGAATTTCCAATTATTTGATTAAGACATATAAAAAATACATAAACTATTAATTATCATTCACATAAAATTCAAAATATTTTTAAATTCAAAACCTAATACATAAAGTTTATATGCTTTCAACAATGTGAGAGTTAGGAAGCTCTGGTTTAACCTAATACTATACCCTACCTGTATGGGTTGTAGAATCCCAACACCAGTCCCCACCCCAAACTCCATTCTTTAAGTAAAAAAACCCATCCCATCCGAGCAGGTAGGGTAGAAATTGCCACCCACAGCCAATAATAAGGTCCCACACCAATATTAAATACATGGGGCCCACATCTTTTACAGTGGGTCCCATGAATTTATTATTGGCGTGGAACCTCATCATTGGTTCCACAACTCACTGAACAGCTAAAGCGTTCAATTATAATCCGATCCACCCTCTTAAAAATGAATCTAGAACTTTAGATTTGCTGCACTTATCTGCACTTCCATTCAGTTTGTGATAAACAAGGTTTTTAAAATCAACCCGGAGAACGAACCGGTCAAGAGTCTGGTTCCCAGATCGAACGGTCAGCCCGTTCTGACAAAAAAATAAAAAATTAAAAAGATAAAAAATAAATAAAAATAGTCAAAACCGTTTGAATGATTCAAATGATTAACCGCTCGAGTCAATGGTTTGTTGATCAAAATCAACAGTTTTTGAGAAAAATCCAATTTTAAGGAAAAACAGAATCGGTCACCAGTTCTCGGTTTTTCTGGTCTGACCATCCGATCCAGTTCGGTTTTGAAAACCATGGTGATAAGTGTCCAACAAAAGATCCGTGTTTTCAAAGAAGAATGTATTAATTGTATTTGATAGCTGCTTATTGGGTGTGACCAATCGTTTTGCTCCACAATAGCTAAAAGTGCATGTAACCCACAACCACTCGATCTCTCATTTGTATTTTTGGCTGGTGTTGAACAATAATTGGTCCCACAGCATTATTGTTAAGAGAAACCGCAGCACTGTCATCCAAAGGCAT